ACTGAAGGCATGCCAGTGTCCGCCAGAACCGGAAGGGGCAGCCTCCCTTACGGCCTCCAGGAGGAGCGCACTCCTACTGACTCCTTCCTCTTGGACTTCTGGCCTCCAGAACTACCTGAGAACAAGTTTCTGTTGTTTTAAGCCACCTCGTTGGTGGTAACTTTATTACGGCAGCTCCAGAAAGCAGATGCAGTGTGATATGAAACCAGCAGAGTGAAGAAGCTCCAGGGAAGGAGAGAGGGTGGACGGAAATGTCGAATACACTAGAATATCCTCAAAGCTGTAAGCAACAAGAGGAGGGATCTACTAACTGAACAACAAGGACTCTTGGAAATGAAGAATATGGTGGCAGAAAAAAGCTTCACATAAGATTTTAAAGATTTTTGTTTTGTTTTTTGAGACAGGGTCTCGCTATGTAGTTCAGACTGGCCTTGAACTCACTACATAGCCCAGGCTGGTATTGAACTCTCGGTGATCATCCTGCCTCAGCCTCCCGAGTACTGGGACTACAGGCATGTGCCACCATGCCCCGCCTCTTTAATATTTCATCCCGCACTCACGAGCATCACTGCTCACCTCCCAGCTCCCACCTACCGTGGCAGTGGGAGTTAGAATTCCAACAGCAGAATCTAGGGAGACACAAATACTCAGTCCACTGCACGTGGGATCCGAGAACAGAAAATCTACATAAAAAAGAGATAAAAGAAATTCTTAAGATGGCAGTGAGGAGAAGACTCAGAATAAGAGCAAGGCCAACTAGTGCTGAGAAGCAGCCAGCTCCAAGGGGAGTAGCTGGACAGAGGGAAAAGAAGTTATCTGAAATCAGAGGATCCCAATGCACACAAGATCACTTAGAAATATGGAGGCCAATAAAAGGAAGAGCATTTAACCCTGAGGAGTGGGCTGAAGGAGGGGACAGGAACACGGTACAGCTGTTTTAAGACTTTCAGCTACAGTTGGCTTTTTAAGCTTGTATTTGTTTCCTAATTCTGCTGGATCAAATCAATGCAAACTCGGCAGCTTAAAAAAAAATCAGAAATTAATACATCAGAAATGCATTTTCTCATAGTTCTGAAAAGCACAGGTCCACAGTCAGGGCGCTGGCAGAATCAGTTCGCCTCCGAGGCGCGTATGGAGGATCCGTACCTCGCCTGTCTCCGAGCTTCACCGTGGCTGCCGGCAACCCTTACCGTGTCTCGGTTTGGGGCGAGACAACTCCAGTCCCTGCCTACATCTTCACGCAGCTTCCTTCCTCCATGTCTTCGGGTTAACTCTCCTTCCCCTTTCTCTGAGAAGGACACCAGTGATCACAGTTAGGACTCAGCCTGGATCCACTACACCTCGAGATCCTTACTCAGCTATATCTGCAAAGAGCCTGTTTCCAAATAGGATCTCATCTGCATCTGTAGGTCGGGGGCTAGGACTCGGACAGATCTTCCTAGGGAACCCATCCAATCTACTACAGAGCCATTTGTATGAACTACTCTGAATATCTACCATCATCTCTTCAGTTTTTCCATATCCGTTTCTGAAATGAGATCCAGAAAGAGGTTTCGTACACTTCCACCAGCAATAGATCAAAAGCCAATTTTCCTGCACGTCTGCAAAAACTGAATATTACACTGTATATACTCTTGGTCAAAATGACACACAAGCATCGTTTTATGGTTGACTCGACTTGTCTTTTGGGTTACTAGTGAAACTTGGTGTTTAAAAAATATAGTTGTTGATCATTTAATCTTTCTCTTTTATGAATTACCTGTCCACATCCTTAGTTCATTTTATTTCTTCTAAGATATTCATCTCATCTGCACAGAAGTAAAAGGATGCTTCTGACAGCATTGTTTTCAATAGCCAAGTAGATGAAAACAACCTAAATTTTCAGCCATAGGGATTGACTCACTAAAGAATTATATTCTTGAATTCCATTTAGCTATTTTAAGTGTTATTACAGAAGCACATGTGACAATAAAAGGTGGTTACAAATTAGGTAAAACACTTGTACCCAGATTTCAAATGGTGTGACCAAAAGACACTATTCTCTTAAAATACGCTTATACCAGTTAATAGTGTAAACATCCATATGGTCTCACTCATGCATCAGATACCATTCTACTCATTTTACAAATATTGTAATAACTTTATATAATAGGCCATATTATGACCCCTGTTTTACCAAAAAGGAAACAAGCAGAAAGACATTATGAAATGTGCCACACAGCTGCTAAGGGGTGCGTCTGGGACTTAAATCCTGGCAGTTTAGCTCCAAAAATGAACTATTAAACCACCCCGCTTCTGTCTGTGTAATTGCACAGAAAAGGACATCGAGGTATATACATACAGACCGAGGAAGCTGCTGTATTGCCTCTGAGGGCAGGGAATCGTTGGTAGTGTTTTACGTTCTTTTTGTTTGTACATATTTGTAATTTTCCTGTAATGAGTTCATAATGCTATTATTATTAAAAATACTAAAAATTCATTTTGAAAAACAAAATTGATCTCCTGAAGCCATTATATAAGACTTGTTTTCAGCTGACGAGGGAAAAACAAGAGACCTAATTTTATCACCCAAGACGTAGTAAGTACTCAATTAAAATCGATCTTCAAGAAGCAAAATCCAACAATATGTTGTATACAAGAAACACACCTAGTGCAAAAGGAAGCCCATAGACTGAAAGTGAAAGGATGGAAAACAATTCTCCATGCGTCAGGAGCCCAGAAAAAAAGCAGAGATAGCAATCTTATTCTCAGACAAAGTAAATTTCAAACCAAAACTCATTAAGAGAGACAAAGAAGGACACTACATCCTTGTAAAGGGAACAATTCAAGAGGAAGAGTTCACAATCATAAACATATATGCACAAATATAAATGCCCCCAACTATATAAAACAAATATTAAGTAACATGAAAAACCAAATAAGCACTAATACAATTTTAGTGGGGGTTTAAATACCCCACTATCACAAATTGACAGATCATCTAGGCAGAAAGTCAACAATGAAATAATAGAATTGAACCAAGCTTTGGAACACATGGACTTAATAGATGTTTACAGAGTATTCCACCCCACAAAATCAGAATATACATTCTTTTCAGCTGCACATGGATCATTCTCCAAGATAGACCACATATTGGCTCACAGAACAGGTCTGAGTAAACGCAAAAGAACTGAAGTCATCCCCTGTATATTATCAGATCATAGTGCAATCAAGCTGGAGATCAATAGCACAAGAAACTGTAGGAACTTCACGAGCACATGGAAACTGAACAACACTCTCCTAAACAATCAACGGATCACAGAGGCAATTAAAGAAGAAATTAGACAGGTTTTACAAATAAATGAAAATGCCAATACAACATACAGGAATCTATGAGACACAATGAAAGCAGTTCTACGGGAAAAATTCGTAACATTGAATGCCCACACTAGGAAAACAGAGCGGGCTCGAATAAACAACCTAATGATGAAACTTAGACTCCTAGAAAAACAAGAGCAAGTAAAATCGATCTTCAAAAATAAGATAAAATAAAAGCTATCTTCACTGGCAGCTCTTTTGTGTCAGATATCACAATGCAAGCAAGTTCAGGATGAAATATAAAAGCTGAAGCAGACTGAGACCACTGTGGCATAGGAGGGATTTTCCTGCAATGGGGAAGGTCAGCATGAAGTTATCGAGTCCCTCCTGCAACAGCAAGGCTGAAGTCAGTGTAGGCAGCGAGCACAGCCGGAGGATCTGTGAGTGTCACTCAGTTTGCAGACAGCACCAGGGAAGGCACGAGGGGCCCTGCAGAAGCCACTTGCTCTGTCTCTTTTCCATGCTCTGAGGGAACCGAGCCGATGAAATCAGCTCAGATGACAGCAATCTATTACTCAGAATTCACGGTTGATTTTTCACCATTTCCCCTGTATTGCCAGACCTCATAAACCCTGCCCAGACTGCAGCTCCACAAAACAAACCCCACTACCAATGCTCTTGACCCGTGACCCTTCATTCCTCACTTTCGCCACACTTTGGCTTCCTGTTCCCCCGATCTGCTAGCCCTCTGGTGAGGGGGACCCCAACTTGCAAAGAGCCAACCATGCACAAGAGCAGATGCTTGGCCCTGGCCCCTGAAAATGACCTGTCCCTGATTCTGGGCTCTGTTTCTCCTCAACACCCAGGTGACGAGACAGCCACCAATTGCATCCGGGGGGATAGACCTGGGCAAAGATGGTAACTTGGAGGGGACCCTTCTTATAGTTGTGGATGCAACTGACAGCAGCTACGGGTCTGATTATGTTTATGAACCCAATATAATTTTTATAACCAGGTTGAAGCAAATATTACCGAATAGAAACAATAAATGTTACATTAAAATAACATGTCTGAGGGTCTCCTACTTCATCTTCTGCGATATCCCTTACATCTCACGCCCTACTCTCAGTCACCACAAAGTGCAGATCACAGAGTTCTAGAATTTAGATGCTGCTGCCTGGGAAAATAAGCGGCACACACACAGACCCTGGACTCAGAAAGCCCGGGGTTCGAATCATAGCCTTGTTCGTTTTTCTCTGCCTGGCTTCCGACTGGTAATCACCTCCCTCGCTGTGCTAAGAACCAGAAGCTTTTGCATACGAAGTGCTTGCTGCAGCTCTGGGCTCCAGTTTGGCTGGTATAGGTTGTGGTAACTGCACCAGGGTCGGGGACCAAGAGTAGATTCTATTTATTTATTTATTGGTACTGGGGATTGAACTCAGGACCTTGTGCTTGCGAGGCAGGCGGCGGAACCACTGAGCTAAATCCCCACCAAGAGTAGATTCTAGGCAGCAACCTCCTCTGGCTTCATCTGAAGGAGGAGTCAGTGCACCATCTCACCACCTTGCGGAAAATTTGCAATGAGCACCTTCTGACTTGCAAGGAAGTGCAGGCCCAGCTAAGGCTGCTGTGCCTGCGAGCCAGTCCAGGCAGGTCTCTGGGGCCCTCTGGCTTCCGAGCTCCAGGCCTGCCCGCTCACGCACCTGAAAGAGGTTGGCAGCTTCCAGGACCCGCTGTACGTTCTGCTTGGTGATCAGCGCCTTGCTGGTGTACGTGTAGTCCAGGAGAGTGTGCATGGTCTCGGCGTCGACCCCTTTAATAACGATCTTCCTCTCGTACTTCTCCTTTAAGTCGCTGCAGAACATGGCCCTGGAAGAGAGACGTGTGAGTGTGAAACCTACTGGGACCCTTAGTTCCAGACTAGAAGGGAACTTGCCCTCCTGGAAACGTGGGAGTCCCCCTGTGGGGTCCTGGGCCGATTACTTTATTTCCTTAGCGCTCCTCACACTTCAGACATTCAGTCAGTGTTTACTGAACTGAACTATCTTGCTCTGCCAGGCCAGGCCCAGATCTGCCTTATGGGCTCCAAGTACCAAGCATCCTGCTGGGGCACCTTGGGAGTCCTGAGCTTCCTCCGACCTTCCTCAGCATCTGGCCCTCAGCTCCCAGGTCTTGCAACCCCTCTGAGGCCTGGAACCTGGCCCACAGACCAGCCTGCTAACCCAGCGCCCACATCCCCCACCCCAGCAGCACAAGTGGCTCCTAAAACTGCCTCTCCTCCCCCGGGGGCTCCATTCCCAGCTGCACTTAGAAACCCGGAATACCCCATCCCAGGGCAGAGCCCCAGGTCGTTGTTCTACCACTGATCCGGTTCGAGCCTTCCTTGCTTCCTCCCCAGGACTGGCCTTAATCAGAGAAGCAGGAGAACAGTTTGGAAAGGGTCCTGGTTACAGCATCAGAAGGACCAGAATCTGACACCAGCCTCACCAACTCAAAGACTAGCGCTTCATCTCCATGAGCCTCAGCTTCCCGTGCGTAATGAGGATTTTAATGGCTCTTTTAAAGCTTACTGTAAAGATGAGCTCAACAACTAGTAGATAAGTAGAGACATAGAGACTCTTTGTCAACCCTATGCCAGGCTTGTATAAGAATTCATCCTGTTTCTTTGACTGAGATTTGAACTGTGAGTTCTTCTCAGAGAATGTGTGAGCGATTTTATTTATTTTTTTAAATGCATTTAACTTTCCCATGCTTCTGGAAAGATGTCTGGAGACTTGAAAGGTACCAGAAATATGGCATGGGGGCCAGGGATTTAACTCAGTGGTTCCACTGCCTGCCTCACAAGAGCAAGGTCATGAGTTTGATCCCCAATATATAGATAGATAAACAGATAGATAGATGATAGATAGAGCATGGTTTCATAAATTAAAAGGGAGGGAGGTAGAAAAACCTGAGTAAGAACATAAAAACAATCTCTGAATGAGGCTAGAAATACCCGCTCCACAGTGACATTCACAATCCTCCTCACACATACCACACACATACGCAAATCCAAATGCTCAAAAGACCGATTATAGTTCTTAGCATAAAAATAGGTGGAATTTCTCTTGGGGTGCATACACGCCTTATAATATTCCTACCCCATGAGGCTGGTCCTTAATGGCTACAGCTGAGGCAATTCCTTCAGTCTCATTCCTATAAAAACCTGCTCACTCTCGCCTTCCCAGTGAGCGTGAGACCCCAGAAATCCCACAGGAAGGCACAGCTAATGAAAACAACTCTTTGGAAGCTCAAGGATTCAATTTCTTTCAATTCCCCCTGCGTTCACAGAGCACCACTCTGCAGGATACCAAGATAGTATTAGAAATATTAGGCAGTGCCCTGGACTGTCCCCAACCCACCATCAAAGCCATACATTAGAGTTCTAAGGCTGTATTTGTAATGGAGGTAATAAGATTATGAGATCATGAGGCTGAAGCAGAATCGGACCACGCCGATACCCTTACAAGAAGAGGAAAAGAGAGCAGAGTTATCTCCCGCTCTGCCATGTGAGGACACAGCAAAACTCTGGCCGTGCGCAACCAGAAGTGAGCGCTCCGCAGCACCTAGCTGTGCTGGCACCCTGATCTCACACTTCTGGCCTGTAGAACTGTGAGACACAGGATCTGTTGTTTAATCCACCCAGCCCACGCTGTTTTGTTGTAATAACCCAAGCTAACTATGATAGAGTCTGCGCTGAGAAGTGACAGCTGCTGTGGCAAACAACGAAAAATGTAAAAGCTAATTTGGGGAGTAGGTGATTGGTAGCAGCTGGAGGAGTTTCCAGATGTAGGAAATAGCTTAGCTGGCCATGGACAGAATGTTGGTAGGAATATGGGTTCTGGAGGTCATTTGGAGAAAGCCTCAGGTGGAAATGAAGAACGTGTCATTAGAAACTGGAATAACGGTGATCCTTGTTATAAGATGTCAGAAAATTCAGCTGAGCTGTGTTCTGGTGTTTTGTGGAAGGTAGAACTTTTGAGAGATGCAATGAGACATTTGGCTGAGGCACTACTGAGCCAAATGGCAGGGAGCGGCTTGGTTCCTCCCAGCTGCTTACAATGAAAAGCAAAGAAGAGATCAATAGAAGATGGGATTTTTAAGCAAAGAGAAACTAGAAATCTAAGACTGGGAAAATTTTTAGCCCACCCATATTGCAAAAAATGAGAACGTATCCCCGGAAGAGAACGCCAGGGTGTGTATGATCTGTCAATGGGTAGTATGAGCAGGGACGTGGCCAGTTGGAGCTGACAGGGCAGAGACAGGGCAAATGAAGGAAGTCTGATGGACTTGGGTTTTTTCCCCCACTTTGGTGCCGGGGATCGAACTCAGGACCTTGCACTTGCAAGGCACGTGGTGGCACCAGTGAGCTGCATCCCCAGCCCCAGACTGGGATTTGACAGAGAAGGATGGGGTGACAGAGGTACTCCGTGGTGAACAGGTTCTACTCCTCAAGAGGAGGCGGAAATGACCAGGAGTACAATTTAGAGGTCATCAGGGCCACAGCCTCAGTCCTACAAGTCAGGCAGCCCCTGCCGGGAGCCTTGGCTCAAGAGTCCTGACTGCAGCCGCGTGGTAATGCTGCTGCCTCGCTGGGCCTGGCGGGCAGGGCATGAAACCAATGAGGGTGACTCTCAAGCCTGAAAATCGAATGGGTTTTACCTTACTGGGTTTGGGCTTTCCTAGGAACCAAGACTTCCTCCGTCCTTCCTACTTCTCCCTTTTGCAGTGAGAATGTCTGTCCTGTCCCACGAGTGTATTTGGAAGCACATGGCTTGTCAGGTTTCACAGGGTCACAGCTGGAACGGGATTTTGCTTTCGGGCGAACTGTACTTCCAGTCTCACCCAAGTCTGACTTACATGAGACTTTGGACTTTTGAGTTGGTGCTGAATTTTGGAGCTGTTGGGTTGCAGTGAATATATTTTGCATGAGAAGGACATGACTTTGAGGCCAAATGCAGAGTGCCGTGGGCTGACGTGTCCTCCCACAGTTTGGGTGTTGAAGCCCTAACTTCCACTGCGACTGCATTTGGAGGTGAGGCTTTTAGGAGGTAATTAAGGTTAAATGGGGTCTTAAGGGTGAGGCCCTAAACTGATGGGATTAGTGTCCTTCTAAGAGAAAGAGCCTCTCTCTTTCTCTCCATTTCTGCCCCCCCCGATTTATAAAAAGGTAGCCATTTGCAACCCAGGAAAAGAGGCCTTGCCAAAAACAAAGCCATGCTCATAATCAGATTTCCAGACTTCAAAGCTATGAGAAAACAAATTTCTATGGTTTAAGTTACTTGGTCTATGGTATTTTGTTATAGCGGCCCGAGCTGACTAATACTGGCAATCTCTATCTACTCCAGCCCCTGGAGCTCATGACATATATTCACAGGTAAGTCTAAAAGTGGCTACAGATGTGGCTCAGTCATAGAGTGCTTGCCTAGTATGCATGAAGCCATGGGTTCAATCCTCCTAGCAAGAGAGAGGAAGAGAGAGAGAGAGAGGGAGAGAAAGAGAGAAATAACAGCCTGCAAGGGCCATAAAACATCTAAAGTGCAGTGAGGGCCAGGAGTGGCTGCTGTAGAGAAGGGAAATATTGATAGTGTGGACAGTAGATAGGATTTCTAGCTAATAAACAGCCCAAGTGGAGACAGGAAGGTGCAAGAGTAGAGCAGTAGAGGAGTTAGCAGGTACCTAGTCTCCTACTTACAGCTGTTCAACTTAAGATTTTTTTTTTTTTTTAGCTTTATAAGGGTGGGAAATTGATACACACTCATCAGAAACTGTTCTTGACATTTTGAATTTTGATCTTTTCCTGGGCCAGAGATGTGCACGATAATTACTCTCTTGCAACACTGGCAGCAGCACCAAGACACAGCTCCCAGTCCTCTGCGTGATCAGAGGGGTAAGCAGCCCCGATAAGGCAAGGAGCTTCTGTCCATGATCCAGCTGGGACCCAGGCGTTGGAAGAAGGGGGGTGTGGAGACAGCAGTCCGGAAAGGTCGTCTGGGTCCTGAGCACTTTATTTTACTGGTGATGATAAATGGAGTCAAGAATTATCTGCACCCAAATGGAACTCGTCCCAGAGCCTTTTCCCAGAAAATGTACTCATTGAGGCAGTAGCCATACAGCTAGGGAATTCCTCCAACCAGTTGTCATCGGACTTTCTAAGCAGCCGACACGAAGATTGCCTGGAGGCCAGTCCTGCTCCGGCCAAGCCAGTGAAATGGGAAGGTGCCAGGCTGGCACCCTGGTGATCAAATGTGATGCCCAAAACTTGGGCTTCCATCCCAACACAGAGAGGATTGTCCCCGCTGTGCCCTGCTCCTCCTTTCTCAGCACTTCTTTGTTATTTCCGGAAATCGCCTTTCCATTTCTTTCCCCTCTCCCTTTTCCTAATCTGTAAAACAAAGGTACCTGCTTGTGGTTTCCCAGGGGGAAAAAAATACCTAAAAGTCACAGGATAAAAAGAGGATCACTTAACTGACTGACTCCTGGAGACTTTTGCTTTAGCGGATGAAGTCTCCCTCTGGCCTCCTCCCTCTGCCCTCTTCCTCTGTCTTCCACATTTTAACCAGTGATAGTTCCCTCCCCTTTCCTCACCCTTTGTGTCTCTTCCCTTTATTGGCATCTCTCTCCTCACAAGACTATGACAGCAAGAAAGGAAAGGCAGCTGTGAATAGGGGGGCCTTTGAACTTAGTAAATCCCAGATGAGCAATGATGTCCGCTGAGAAGGTGACCAATTTACAAGCTACTTTCTTCGGCCATAAATCCACTTGCCCAGCAGCCTGGAGCCATCTTCGGAACCACAGTCATGTGCCTTTAAAAATGATGCCTGGTGTGT